CACGTGAAGCATGAAAAGAAAAAGGTAACTCTTTTTTTCACCTTGACTTAAACGAGTTTGTTTGGTCCACATTAAGATAGGGATTTAAAAATTTTAATATTCCATTATGCCTCCCTGTCCAACAGTTATTTGTGTTAATAAGTACTTAATGAACTATTTTGGTTACTGAAATTGTTATATCACCGATGGTTATTTATATTTTTATAAGTTTTAACATTAGTAGTGCGAAAGGGAAAGATATGGGTAGAGACTAGAGAACATCTCTCTCTAGTTGCCTACTGTAAGGAGTTGGTGTAATGAACTTGTGTTGTATATAAGTTGTGGATTTTCATATAAGTTGCCATAGGAATATACATATTTGCACACAAGCATTTTGGATGTGATTGTGTGTGTGGAATTTTGCATCCTAGCCCTATTGTATGTGTATATATGTGTTTGAGGTGAATTTGGTGATGTGGGCTAGGGATGGATTATAAGTATACGTGGATAGAATGGAAATGTGATGAATGAGAGAGTTTAGCCAATAGAATGAATTTATATGAAATGATTCGGTTATGCCTAAGTGTGTGTGTAATGGGCAATTTCCTGGCCAAAGTTATATGTACATGTGATATTGTGCATATGAATGGTCAATCAGGTGTTAAATGTTTTATTGGACATGGTCAAGGCCTTAAAAGTGGCTAATGACTTGTGGTTTCAAATTATGATGCTCAAGTGAAAGATTTTAACTTTAATTAGTCAATATGCACTTAGGTGTTTAACTTTTAAACAAGGCATCAGATTTAAATGAAACCGGCATCATTGGTTAGATTTTGAAACAAGCTTCGTGTGAGCACTTGAATCACCTCAATTGGATATCAGATGTGAAAACAACGCACATCTGAAGTTCACATCAGAACTATTATTTTGACAACAAAAACTAATGTGTGCATCGCGGTGCATGTGTTCACATGCCGAGGCGTATAGCAAAGAGCCAACTCCAGTGCCTCTGTGCCACATGCCGCTGTGCATGGCCCTATTTTGCATGAAGTTGTTGATTCGTTCTGTTTTCATCTAAAGCTTTGCATGCAAATTTATTTTCTTTTGCTATATACTGATACATATTTTTGAACTTTTTGAAAGATTCAAATATTTTAAGTTGGGATTCCAACCATTTTATAAGATTTTAATTGGTAATTAGTAGAGCCGAGAAAATAAGCCGAGCCCGTCGGGCTAGTCTGTATAATAGTAGAGTCGGGCTTGTAAATAGGACTCTAAAATGATAAATCAGGCTGGCCCATTTAAGCCCGTTTAATCTAGGGCTTAAAAGGGCCGGCCCTGTAGGGCTAAGGACTAGCCCGTTTAAGCCTGCATATGCATTTTTTTTAATTACTTCTCATAATTTCCACTTTTTTTAGATTTGAAAAAAAATTAAACTAAATCTTACTCCACATCACATATTAGCCCATATTTACTGAGGATGGAAGGCAAAAAAAAAAGAAAAAATAGCAATGAAGAATCACTGATCAAAAATTATATCAGTCAAGGATCACTTATTGTCAAAATTCAAGTAGATACTTGTGGATTCGAGTTAGCCTTTATCAATAAGTATTCATTTAGGTTTTAATAACAACTCATTTTAAATTAATAATAGTTCATTGTAGCTTATTTTTTATTCAGGTCTTGACAATAATTGATTCTTAATTGATATAAATTTCATACATAAATCCTTGGCCGCTATTTTCTTAAAAAAAATACAACCTTAAATCCCCTAATTCATCTAGATCCATGATAATGATTCATTCAGTTTAACATTTACTCTTCTAATTTTGATTGGGTGTTTGTCAGCTTAGCCGATCCATTGCTTATTGCATTGCTATTATTTTATTTATGTTTTTAGTTCATTTAGATGTTATTTAGTTAGTTTTTTTTTGTACCTTTTTTGATTGAATATTATATTAGAATGAAGTAATTTTTTGTTTGATTAAAAAAATTTTAAAAAATAAAAATAGTTAAAAGGGCCTAAAGCCCGCAGGGCCGGCCCTAAGCCCACTATGTTAAGGGTCGGGATTCAAATATCAGAGTTCTAAAAGGAACTCGAGCTTAAAAGAGCTGGCCCTTTTAGGCCCGAGCCCTTTAAGGGTGGGCCCTACAGGGCCGGGCTGGCCCTTTTTGCCAGCTCTAGTAATTAGTGTGTGTTTGAGTTTTGAATGATAATGTTAGAAAAAACATTACAGACCCTACAAAGGTGGGTTTGAATCTTATCCAAATATGCCCTATGTTATCTTTGAAGTGTAGGGGAAGAAATTGAAAAACGAACAAGAGAGAAAGGCAGACATGAAATAACAAATTTCCTTCCAAAATATCTTCTTGTGTGGAGAGAAAATTTGGAGAAAAAATACAATGGGTCATACACCCCATTTTCCCCCTTTTTCTCCTTTCTCACCACTCAAAATAGGAAAAAATTGTTTCCTCCCCATATTTTATTTCCATTCAAGTGGAGTATAAAGGTTTCATTTTCCTACATTTTTTATTTGTGCTTGGATAGTATTACTATTGCATTTGATTTGGGATTTGTAGTGTGGGCCTTATTTGTTTTGTTATGGAGTTTTGCAGGTTGAATTGGGCCCTGTTTTAAATTGTTGGTCTTAATTATTCGTAGTGTATTGTGTAAATGTTTGATGAGTTTTGGGATATTGGCCATTAGGACCCAAAACTCTAAATAATAGTTAGATTCCTAACAAAAATTTTTATAAAATAAATTATAAATATTAATTTAAACAATTATAAATAGAAATTTGTGTTATAATATAAAAGTTATATTTAATATTTAAATACTCATTTGTAATTAAAATTCGTGGATATGTAATTATGTAGATTGATATTTTTAACTAATTTTTCAAAAAAAAAATCAAAAATATAATTATCATTAATTCAGTATTATGGGATCTAATTATCATTTTCCCATGAGTTTTCACTTCATTCTACAGTTTTTTTTTTCTCCCATAGGTAACAACTAACAAGTGTGATTCTATGAGTCAATTTTATTTAGACTTCAAATGGGTTAGAAGCTAGATGGAGCCCTCCGACACCTAGGTTGGTTAGACTCAATATTGATAACTTTATCAACATATGCTGTCACTTGTCAAAGCATCATCAAGGATGATAAAGGTAATTAAATTAACGGATTTTCAAAATATTTTGACTACTAGCCTTGCACGGTAACTGAGCTCATGGAAATTTGAAAATGTTTAACTTTTGTTGATTTAATTAATATCTACTTTGATTTTATGAAAGCCTTATCACTCATCGAGAATAACTATCCAAATAAACACATTTTTTATTAAATTATCAGGAAAATAAAAGATCTTACCATGAAGGACTGAGTGGTCGTCTTTGACAATGTCTACAGAGAAACAAATAGATACGCTGACTTATTTACTCACCAGGCTTTTAGGGATAACTTCGACATTAGGATTTTAGACTGTCCTCTATTGGATTGTATAAACCTAATGATTTTAGACATGACTTGACTTTTGTCCTTCCGCACAATTTTTCCATTGCCTTGTATTTAAAAAAATCCCCATATTTGTGTTTATTTCCTTCTAATTTGAGGTTCTAATAATTAATATACACTCATTTAATGTGGGTTTTATGCACTAAGTGTTAACCAAATTCATACATGGAAAGCTAGTTCTCAAATTTAATTGTTTTTATTATTTGCAAGCCTCTATTTGGCAAGCATATATTCTATTTCATTTAAAAAAAATTATATAATATATATTGATCTATCAGAAATTGTGTATTCAAATGGCATATTTTATTGAACTGTACTCCTTAATTAGCCTAAGTTACAGCAATTAGTATATGAAAGATGTAATTTATCTTTAAAAAAAAAAAATACCAACTGGTTCAAACTTTTAACTTGTTTTCACTTTTCATATGAGCCTAAAGACACGATCATATACATTTGAAAGGGCAAAAATTGACTGGTTCGAACATTTTTAAATCACAGACAACACTACTGGTGGTAGACCAGGAGCCAAATATTCGCCCCCTTTTTTTTTCTTGGGCCAATTACCTAGTTTCTGTTTCAATTGGTGTTGTTAAATTTAATTTAATAATTTAAATCAAACTGGCGTGACTTCCAATAATTTTAGATAAACTCAAGCATTTTTATTTCATCAAAACAGGGGTTTAGATCAGTGTTTTAAGACCTGAGTGATCTGGATGGTTAAATCAGTCAGATGGCCGCCAGAATACAAAAACGACTTGGTTCGATTCATTAACTTGCTTCAAGGATTGGATCATTTTAAACGGGACGGTTTTGACAGAACCAAAATTAACTAGAAACTCAAAATAATTGGACCACTTTGAACCATTTTTCTATTTTACTCCTATTAATTTTTTTTATTCAATTTAAAAATATTAATGTGAATTTTCTTTCAAATTGTTATAGCAAGCATCATTGCCTAGTTCGATTCTTATATGTACGTGTAGGAAGCATCGCTTGGGAAAGGAAAACTCTCCAAATGGTATTCAGATTTTTTAAGAAATTACTCTTATGACTGCTAGATGTAAAAATATCTTGGCAAACCAAAATAAAAAATTGAGTTCAGGATTTGTTTATTAACATTATATAAATTAGATTGTAGAGAAAATTGAAAAATTATCTGTTTCAAAAGAAAAATAAGATAAATAAAAAATACATATTACAAAAATGAGAAAATTAAAACTGAATAACTTTGAATTAAAAATGATACTTTTGGTATTTTTAATGTTTTATTTATGCATATGCATATAAATATTTTTTTATTTAATATTATGTCATTGATTTTACTACTAATCTAATCGATTAAATCATTATAATTGTGACTCCCTGATCTTTTTAGGATCCAATTTTTAAAACATTGGTTTAGATTTTAGAATGCATGCTCTAAATAAGTGAGCTACGAATCCAGTTCCAAAGTTTGTAATAATAGTTGGTACTTCATAGCAAGGAAAATTACAAAAGAAACATATATTATAAAGGGAAAATATGCTCAATAATCAAGCATATAAACAAACTAGACTTTATTTCCATTTTGATAAAGCAAACCCACATAGCGAACCCAGGTTATGTTTGGCTGAGATCAATACGAAGATCAACTTCATGAGAATCCATGGATTAGCAAAGACCAACAACCTCAATTTTGTCATCAACAATTGCATTTCACCCTTGAAATCTCTATGCCGCATCTAAAATCTTGAGGACATCACACTTTCTCTTGGTTTGGATTGAGAGAAAAATACGAATAAGGAAAACTAGAAGAGAAAAATTTTCTCCTAGTTTTTTCTCCTCTCTATTATCTTACTTTTCATTCTATCCAAACCAAGTCTAGCTGGCCTCTGAGATACAAGTTTCAATCCTCAATTGGCAGAAATGGCATATAAGATCATTTACAAAAACCTTTTCAACTAACCTAGTACACTCAGACTACGAACTGATATCTCTCTATCGTGTAAGAAGTTTGTATGAAGGCAAATCCTCTAGCCGTGTAATATCTTCAAGGAGAAGCTCTTTCTCCAGCTGATGACGTGTCGCTTTCATCACTCTCTGTTCAAAACGGAAAATAAAATACAACAGCCGTAGTCACTAAGAATCAAAAGCTGAAAATCTAGGTCAGCTGCTAAGGATGAAAATCAAGTGTATCTATAGATCAACCGTGGTTCAAACAATCACTATGGTTACACCAAAGTTAACATAAGTCTGAAGGCCTCCGCAAAAATATTTCTCTTCATTTGCAAGAGTTATTACCTCTGCATTAAGATTTACCCCTCACTGCATTTTTCAAGGTTGATATTCATCCGATCACTTTAGTTTTCTTCCCATACACCATTATCGATAAAAAAACCTCAAAATTTAGCGAAAATCTCTTCCTTATATGCACCAAAGTTATCAGCCAAGCATACATTCTGCTGGCACAAAATGTACTTCTCAATAGCCTAATCAAATATCAATGCAGCACAAGTGACCAAAAACGCCAAGTTCATGCCCATAAAAACTTAGGTAGTGTTTGGATTGATACACTTGGATTTAAAATCTTACATTTCAAATTCATATATTTAAAATTATTTGTTTGGATAGTTTAAATAATAAAGGTCATTACTGTAATGTAGTGTTTCAAGGGTACATATGGAGATTTGAAATGAAAAAGGTTTAGAAAAGATTTCAAATTACGAAGGAATTAAGATAAAACCTAGCTTTGGATTTGGATTCATAAATTTTTAAGTGCCCAAATTGGGGATTTGACCCAAATCCAAATCTAAATATATCCAAACATAGTTTTAAAGTAAAGGAGGTTAGTATGAAATTGTTGAAACTAGAGGAGTGCTCCCGTAGGATTTTGGAACACTCGGGCAAAGTGAAAAAAATTTATACAAAATATTAAATCCATGTGCCTGTTGGCTCCTATTTCTAACAGAAGCATTCAGACCAGAGAATACTTACATTAAAATCCATGTATGATGCTCGCATGGTAAGCCATTGAAGATCCATCAGCTTAAAAGTTATGCAATAGAGTAGATCAAAAGCCCATTCATTCTCTGTCAGACGACAATGAATGACTTTAGTAAACAGCAAGCTAAGATATAATCCTTAAACAAGGACTCGGAACCCGAAGTGAAAAGCCCACCAAAAAAATATTGTTCTTATTCTTGCAAAGTGCTGTATTACCCACATTGTATATTTGGAGGTCCCATAAATTACTATTTAGATACCGGCATTAAATTATGACTAAATTCAGATCCTACCCCTCATCTCCTAGCATAGAAGAGGGAAGTACAAATACACATAATTTAGGCTACCTGCAAGAAGTCTTAGGAAAGTTGCTCCCACCATTGTCCGTGGCTTGACTGTAAAGCCAAAGCATATTGTTAACAATTAATATCATCAACTGAATTAAGTTCTTGAACATGACAAAATTTAATTCAACTCATTGCTTTGCAAAGGCATAAATCATACAACAGCCAGCATAAAAACATACATTTTCACCTAAATTCAGAAATAATTATTATCATTGAAATTTGTCAAAGAACCATGACAAGACTTCTCTTTTTCTTTTCTTCTTTGAACAAATACTTTGTCACTATGGATGTCACATTCTTTGAGAACCAGCCCTATTATCAAAAAGTTCCCATTCATGGGGAGAGTAGAGAGGGTGGATGGGCCATTTTTGGGGACAATCTGGGTTCTGCTCATCTGATTTGGGACCAGACGCTTCTGTCAAACAGCCCTTGCAACTCAAAAATCCTGAAACTGAACCTAAACAGTTAGAAAATAGACCTACTCTGGACCCAATACCTGAAACTGAACCAATGACAAGTTCTGAACCTGAAAAAGATCCCGCTTGAGAACCTGTTTTGCCAATTGCAAAACCAATTTCAGGCCCTATACCTGAATCTAACCCCAGTTCCAGCTATGACAATTCTCAAAACTAAACTGAACAACATAGCCTAGAAAAGAGGAAAATAACAAGACTAGGGCGGGCAAATTGAGCCCAATGGCTCTAAATGACATTCAAGAAGGAATAAAGAACAACTAGCAGCTGAACAACAACCCATTCATGAACCAGAAAGTGAAGAGTACTTCACTCTTGAGCAAAGACATGAATATGACCCAACTAAAAATCTTGGGGAGTTGAGGTGGCCAATAGCCTTGAGAAAAGGGGTAAGATCCTGCACGAAGCATCCTATGCAAAATTATCTCCACAATTTCAGGCATCCACCACACAATTGGCAGCTGAAAAACTACCTGAAAATTTCTATGAAGCCATAACGGACCAGAAGTAGAGAGAAGCCATATATGGAGAGTTGAGAGCTCTAGAAAAGAATCAGACCTGGGAGGTGACTAGTCTACCTCAAGCAAAGTCAAAAGTTGGTTGTAAGTGGGTATTTACCACAAAGTATAATCCTAATGGTAGTATTAGTAAATACAAGGCTAGATTGGTAGCTAGAGGATTTATTCAAACACATGGTATTGACCATTAGGAAACATTTGCTCCAGTAACCAAATTTACTACCAAAGAAATCCTTCTATCACTTGCAGCAAACTTTGATTGGCCCTTATACCAATTTGATATTAAAAATGCAATCCTAAATGAGGATTTAGAGGAAAGCTAATGTGGAATTACCACCAGGTTTGAAGGACGTAAAGAACCCTTCTAGAGTGTGCAAACTGAAAAAGTCATGATACGGTTTAAAACAATCACCTAGGGCATGGTTTGGAAGGTTTACTGGTGCACGAAAGACTTCTAGATATTACCAATGCCAAACTGATTATGAGACATGCCAACAGTGGAAAAATCACTATCTTGATTGTCTATGTAGATGATATTGTCATTACAAGTGACAACAAAGAAAGCATTCAACACTTGAAAAATTCCTTGGCAAAGGAATTTGAAGTAAAAGACCTTGGCAACCTTTAGTACATCCTTGGAATGGAAGTCTCAAGAACCAGAAATGGCGTCTCAGTGTTACAGAGAGAGTAAACTCTAGACCTGCTAAAGGAAATAGGAATCCTTTGAGCTAAATCAGCAGAGACACATATGGAGTCCACTTCCAAGGAAGAATTCAGAACCAGTGGATGCAAGAGGGTACAAGAAGCTAGTGGGAAAACTTGTATACCTTTCACACATGAGGCCTGACATAAGTTTCCCAGTAAGTGTGGTAAGCTAATTTTGCGCAAAATCCTCAAGAACAACACAAGAGTAGTCATTAGAATCTGAGTATCTGAAAATGACACCTAGGAAGGGGCTATGCTTCAAGAAAGACACAACAAGAAAGGCTGAAGTCTTTACTGATCCAAATTGGGCTGGCTCTGTAACAGATAGAAGATCAACCACTGGGTATTGTACATTTGTGTGTGGAAATCTGGTTACTTGGCGGAACTAAAAATTAAAGTAGATCTACAAGTGAAAGTATTAAGTGACAATATGGCCACCATAGGAATTGATAATAACCCTTTTCATCATGACAGAACTAAGCACGTGAAAATGGATTTTCATTTTATAAAACAAAAACTTGGAACCAGCCAGATAGATTTCTATCACATGTCAACCAGCAAGCAAGCTGTAGATTTACTGACTAAATCTCTCACCAGAGTCAAATTTGAGGAACTAAGTAGCAAGTTGGGAATGATTAACATCTAATCTCTATCTTGAGGGAGAGAGTGTTGGCGGAATATTAGTCATAATATTCTGTTGACTAGCCTTATTATATTCTACTCCCTCCGTTAAAAAATATAGGTATTTTTTGACAGAATCTTACCTCCAATAAAGTAGTTACTTGTCTTCAAACTAACATTATCTTTCTATATTTATCTCTATTTAATAAGGCGCTTCACTCTAAAATAAATATAAAGTGATTTTAATAGGGACATTTTTGGAAAAAATGTAATGATTATACCTTAAAAGACTAAAAATGCCTTACATTTTTTAACATCTAACCCCTCAAAAAATGTTTTACAGTTTGAACGAAGGGAGTATTTTATTTCCTTTTATGTAGTAGTAAATATTCTTCCTTCATTCTCTTCCAGATTTGCTGATAGCAATTATTCTGTAATGTTCCCTCATTTATTCCTGCTTAATCAGTGGGATTGAGAAGCAAACAAGCTTCTATCCTCTCCCCTATATGTATCACATCACACTCTTCTGTGAATATCATTGAATCATTTCCCCATCTAAATTAATAATTAATAATTTCATGAACTTATTATTCATAGTACATATCATACAGAAAAGCATTAAGATTCAGACTTTGTGTGTGTTATCTCTAGCATTATATGATAATATTAGATAAAAAAATTTTTTACAATATCGTTCAAAAATATTTTCTAATCATCCAAAGATATTTAATTTAAATAGATAAAATGGAATTTAATTATTTATATTTTGTAGTAGTTGAAAAGCAAAGCAAGATGCCCAGCAACATGAGCAAACCAGAGGTGCATGATTAGATCAGTACAGCTCTGGAACTGTTGTACGGTTCACATGCTTAATCTTCTAATTTGACCTGTTTTTGATCTACCACGTTTCACCAGTTAAATGGTGCAACAGCTTATAGTCTATGATTGGATTACACAGTCGGTTAGCTTGAAGGTAGAAATGGTAGGTTAGCGCCAGTTTTCTTTAAAAAAAAAGGCAACTGCCAAAAGCAACTGGCAAAAGCATTTTCATATCGCTATATGCAACTCATCGCACTGGAAAGCCAAAGTTCAAATTTTGTTTGAGTTCTGATTGGTACAGCATTATATAATTAACATATCATAGCATGATGATGATGAAAGAAAAGGTTGTGGCAATAAAAGAAGCAACAGACCTGCTTCAAGATCAAGCATTTGGATAAGCATAAAGGTGATGTTAACACCAGCAACAGCAAATGGGTACTCCCATGCTGATCGGTCTCCTTCCTGCTTCCATAAAAGGTCTTGGAAGGATTTCTGCAAAGCAAAAATTTTAAGTTTTGCTTCCACGGCAAAGACATGAATAGTAAACACTAGTCAAATTTAAGGTCAATTATAAAATTTTATTATTCTTAAGAAAAATGGGAACTATAATAGAGCATCAGAAAAACATTATGAGTAGACCAATGATCAGAAAAAATGGAAGGATCACACCAAGATGGACCTAATCTTTGAAAGATTTCAAGCCCATGTCCCATCCATACCAAGCCTTAACGCAAAAGTAGATATATCAAACTTGTAGAACATGCATACTCATCAAGAAAGTGATATGTAAAGCGGCTAGGAATTTGAACATGCAAACAGAACACTATATTTGATGCAACGTTTTTCCCCTCCAAATTAAAGCGCGTAATTAGTCCCCAGTGAATAAGAAGGCTCAGATTTGTTGAGTATTAACTTGATTTTTTATATTAAACATTTACTTCTTCAGTTTGAGATCATCCCAATTTTTAATATTAAACATTTTCTATTTCATTCTGAGATCCGAGATGTTTCTGGTATACTAGTGGCATCCACTCCATAGTGACATAGGATGACATCACTTGGTGGTGACTCAACTAAAAAGGGATCAGATTACATTACTGAATTTTAAGCTTTCCTGGATGAAATAAAATACTCGTTAACATTATTTCTTAGATAATGTTCAATCGACATAATAAAAATGAACATCTCAATCAATGTTTTATCCCATACAAAATACCAGGTAAGATACAAGTGCACCTAACAGCTTCTGAATGAACCATTCAAGTAACAAGAAGCAAGGCTGTGCAAATAATGATGACTCAACCTTCAAGCAAATAAATAGCCTCCTGCACGATTCTCTTTATCTTCGTTAGTTACAGACATTGTTATGCTTTTAGGAACTAAGCAGCCTTTCTCATTTTGAGATAAACGAGAAGCTGTTTATTTGCATGGGGTCCCAGATGAGGCGCACTATACATAACTTATGAATAATGCAACTTTGCACCATTTTTATAGATTTATTAATACTTATTAAATTGTTACTTTTTCCAGGTTTTTACATGAGCTACTTTTCAAGCTAGAAGGTCTTCCATTTCCATGCTCCCAAAACAATCTTCAAAGCATAATTTTAAAAAAAAAAAAAAAAAGAGCAAAGAGAAAAGGAGACCATACTGGGAAATTCCTGCCAAAATATAGCAAATTCTCCAAAGATATATACCCACCGCCCCTGCCAAATAAATCGAGAGAGAAATCATTCAAAACAAGATATGGTCAGACTACTGATAAGATCACTAAGTTGGAAGCCCAAAATATCTACCTAAAGTCTGTTGACGGATCCTTTCCTTGCCAACCCATTTCTTTCCACTGCTCGGATATTAAGCCATGAAGTTCTTCTTCAGGAAAGGCAATATTCCATAGCGCCCTTAGAGACTCCTAAAATAAAGCAAAATTACCACATATAAATTAGAGTCTAAGAATATTGTATTGCCCAAACAAGGAATGGACAACACATGAAGCCATGGGTGCACAAAAATGAATTCATCAACACAACTATTAGTTATTGCCACATCACTACAAAGCTTGATATTATTAACGAAAAGGATACCTGGTGCTCAAGGATGGAGCTATCATACGGAACATCTATACGGCTCTGTAGCCTCTGCAAACATTCCTCCTGAGAATCCAAGTTCAACAATATGACGATTTATTGCGGCTTATTTATAAAAAAACAATGTTTAATAAAATAAGGTTGTCAAAACAAAAGATATCACTTCTATTCCAAAATGAATACAACAAAAGGCACAAAAAATTATTTGAACAGCCCAATCATGTTAATCATGGGAGTCATGATACCTATGAAATGCAAAAAAGGAAAAAGGGAAGAAAAAAAAAAGCCATAAACGATGAAAAATTAATTTTGACCAAAAACTGTAGTTCAATAAAATTTGTTCTTCAATTTTTATATAACCGCCTGCAGGCAAGATATCTTTTAAACGAAAAAAAAATCATTCAAATAAAAAAAGCAGAATTATTTTACTCAAGAAAAAAGAATCAAATAAATTCAATTGTATTGTCCTCAATTTTCAATAAATCAACTTTGCAATTGTAAAATTATCTCGGATGCAAACTATACAAGTTTAAGAGAGGATACGTCACTTGTCCAAACACTATTTATTGACCTTGATGTATATGTTATTCTTCAATCTACAACTACTCTATTTATATAAGACCAAAGAACAAAAGGCATGGTCATCGTTCAAAAAAAAAAAAATGAAATAATCTGATTCTGAATATCATTGTCTTTCCAAAAAAACCTGAAAGTTGTGCTCCAATAAATATAATAAATCTGAACTCAAGTGAAATGTGAGGACATATTTTTGGAGATGATTGCAGCAGCAGAAAACCTCAAAATTTGACCTCTATATATCGCATATTCTCACACATAATTCATTTCATTGAAAGAGCCTACAGCACAATTTTGTTTTAAAAAAAAAAAACTGTTTCATCAGTGTTTAAATAACAAAATTATTTAACAAGATTATTACCTGCAATGGAGTTAAATCAACAGAGAGACGGGCATCACTATCTCTTCTCTGTGCGCATACGCAAGATAATCCTCTGCCAAGCCATGCTGCTGATCCTGCCACAGCCTCAGCTGTAAACAAATAACTGCCTATAAGTTTATGGCAATAAAAAGTAATAGATCATTCCAAGTGAATGATAGTTCATTGGTTTAGTTTAGTTCGTAAAATGAAATCAGAACTATTCAGCTTATTTAACTACAGCAGCATATAGAAAACTTTTTTGTTTTATCTTTCAGGGAAAAGAAAAGAAGGGTATAGCGTGATAACAAACTATAATTACAAGGCAGGGGACAACTACAATAGACATTATGGAGAGGATATCAAGAAAGTGAATGGTACTATATGCTATAGAAAGAAGCACTTTCACGTTAATTTTGAAAGTAGGCTTATGTCACAAGGTTTTCAAGGAAATCTGGAAGATTATGAGCTATTATTTGTCGATTTGGTGAGTAATCAGATGGTAAGAACCAAATGGAAAGAATGGAGTTTGCCAATCCTGACAAGTGATATAAAAGTAAAGAAAAAATATTAGAATTAAGTACATTATCTAAGAATAGCCTGCCATTAATGACTCCCATCTCTTGTCCCTTTTACCCACCCATAAGGCTTTCAAGCCCCAATAAATTATTTAACCTACGATTAATCTTTTAACAGCAGGCATGTGATTCTGATTACTGCAAACTAAGGTAAAACCCAGGCACCACTGTCGATGCGAATGCACAGGCCACAACAACCTCAAACAAAGAGACAAGCATGATCCAAAAACTTTGAACCACAGCAAAGCAACAAGTAAAGCAGTGCTTTTGCCACAACATGATGAATTTAAATTTCAAGCAGCATCAGAGAGGATTAAAAGACCACAACCTCACTTTATGTACAACTAGGGTGGGTTCCATCTATTTCACAAGCCACAACAATCCTCAAAGAAAGAAGCATACGTGATCCAAAAACTTTGAACCAAAGCAAAGCAACTGGTGAGGCAGCGCTTTTGCACAAATAATTAATATTGAAATTTCGAGCAGCATCAGAGAGAATTATAACAACTACCACCTCACTTACAACTGGTGTGGGTTCCATGCATTGCATGGAAGCAGGGACACGAGCCAAATCTTATAGCTTATGAATAGTGCCTCTTGTTAAAGTTTTTACATTATATATAGATATATCGATTTTCCGCTGCCGATGCACTTCGAAGTATCATCTCCACATTTTATTATATAATTCGCAATAAATTATCCAAGATCTTATTATAGATTTGCACAAGTCAAATAAGTACAGCTGGCGCCTTAAAGTTAGAT